CCCCCGCACCTCGCTCAGCCAGTGAGCGGGAACCGGTCTGTATATGGGATCCGAACCCTCGGACGGGAGCGCCGCCGCCCTTCCCAAGCGGCGCACTATCCAGTGCACCACCGGGCCGGCCCTAGAATTTATTCTTAACTGTAAAGTTCAAACTTCACCGGCCATTCCCACACAGGATCCGAACCCGCGGCGGGAGTGTCGCTGCGCTCCCAGCGCTGCATTCTTCCAGAGTGCGCCATGGGGTCGGCCCTATCTCTGGTTTTTGATTAGTAGTTATTATTCAGTGCAGTGATCTCAAATTTAGAATTTAGAAATAGGACAGAAACTCAGTCTTTTCACAGTTGCTGTTTTCTAAAGTATAAGTAGTAGAAAAGTACTTGAATATTTAACAAGGAAATTAGCTCATGGATTCATTTATGTTGATGAAATACTGTAAACAGTGTTTATCATTACCACTTTGTCATACATACATCTTTCCCTTTGAGAACAGAGCTTAGCTTACAAATCCAAAACTCTACATTAAAAATAGGATGTGGTTGTAGGATAATAATGTCAGATGTCCTGCCCAAAATGCTCGATAGTGAAGGAACTCCTAGAGAGTCAAGCCCAGCTAGTTTAATGTAGACAGAGATGCTTAATCCCAAATTCTCAACTTCAAATAAGGGCATAATTTAAAAATAGAATTATGTCACATTGTGATGGTGCTTTAAGGTAATTGGGTGTTTCATGTTAATTTCTGCTGGGGTTTTAACATATTTTCATATCTGTGATTATATATATATTAAGTTTATTTAAGCCTCTATATTTTTGTCTCCTTTCTCATCTCTCATTAATGAGCTCATTGTTTTCTGGTATTTTAAAAAGCAGTTATCAGATTGTAAAGTCAAAATACTTGACATTTATATTTTGACCTAAGTGCATCTTTTTCTAGAATGAATTTGTGAACTTCTTTTAAAATTCCTTTAAGAGCAAATTATCAATGTTAAATTCTGTAGCATAATTTCAACTTTATAAATCAATTATTATCCTTCATTATTATGAAACTTCCTTAGTGAAAAGTTAGGTTCTCAAATGACAATATACAACCCTTCTTAAATTTGAGGTAGTGATTATGAGCATGAGAAGTGCTCTTCAATATAGTAGTCACTACTATAACTCATTCTATCGGCTATAAAGCACAGCTGGGAATCCTTATACATACAGTCTTTAGAACTGTTAGATAAGTTCAAATCCAACTGATTAAAAAAAAAAGTCTTCCCTTTTTAAAAATATCCATCAGATTGTGATGATTCTCCTGCTTTTTACATTTAAATTCTTATCTCATTTCTATTTATTGGTTCCCTGGTGGGATAGGCAGGTAATCATGTTGAAGGCAGTATAAACACCAGAATTATAGTGCTTTTCTTAATGGGGAACCCTAAGGCTACTCACTCAGTCCATTGGGGAGATAAAAGAGATGGCTGTTCCCATCCGGTTTTGTTTACAAACGGTGTTGCTCAAATTTAGGTGACTGGCTTCTAGGGAAATAAATGAATGTGGAATTGAGGATGGAACAAAGAATTCAATGCTTTACAATAAGTGGACTATATTTGAGAGTTCAAGAGAGGATTGGAGAAAATAACTGAGTATGTAAAAAAAATGGTAAGTTTCTGATTGTTCAGTTGAAGGCAAGTGGCTGGCTCAATGAAATGAAATAACTGATAGTTTTCATCTGTGACCCTCATATCTTAGCTTCTATCTCAGAATTGAGAAATGAGCAGCGTTTATCAGAAAGGATTTACATTGCTGGTATCTTTTGTGTGTGCATGATGTATAGTACACACAGCTCTCCTTATTGATCCTTCACAGGTGTATTATTTACTTTGCCTTCCAGGTGTCCGCAAATATGGTAAAGATTTTCAAGCTATTGCAGATGTAATTGGCAACAAGACTGTTGGCCAAGTGAAGAACTTCTTTGTAAACTACAGGCGTCGGTTTAACTTAGAGGAGGTATTGCAGGAGTGGGAAGCAGAACAAGGAACCCAGGCTTCTAATGGTGATGCTTCTACTTTAGGGGAGGAGACAAAAAGTGCTTCTAATGTGCCATCAGGGAAGAGCACTGATGAAGAAGAGGAGGTGTGTTTGTGTATGGAATTTGAGCTAATATGAGTTGAGGAATCACCATTTTGTGTGGTGTTCTGTAAGGTTAATTTGTCAGAGGACCAGCTAAATGAGCATGAAAGGTTGACAATACACTTACTCAGTGGTGCATCTCTCATGACTCTTAAGTCATAATGATATGCTAAGTTCTGATCCTGGAAGAATGGAGAGTGTATTGTTCTTTCATAGTCTTATTTTTATTTCTAGTGTTAAGCTGTTTACTAATAAAGATGCCTGTTCGGTAGCCTCGTTGCTCTTTCGGGTTTTTTTTATTTTGTTTTGTTTAAAATAAAAGAAGCTTGTGCTTCCAATAAACACTGGTGTAATGTTTTTGTTTTGTTTTGATTTGTTTTGTTTTTCCTGTGACAGCCCAAACTATATTGTATTAAGTTCATTAGGACTTACATCTCATACATGTATTTTTGTTTCCTCACCTCTAGGCACAGACCCCACAAGCTCCTCGGACTCTGGGTCCATCACCTCCTGCCCCATCATCCACTCCAACACCAACAGCCCCAATTGCCACTCTGAACCAGCCTCCACCACTTCTTCGTCCAACACTGCCTGCTGCCCCTGCTCTTCACCGGCAGCCTCCTCCACTCCAGCAGCAGGCTCGGTTCATCCAGCCCCGGCCAACTTTAAATCAGCCTCCACCACCTCTCATTCGCCCTGCTAATTCTATGCCACCCCGTCTAAACCCAAGACCAGTGTTGTCCACGGTTGGTGGTCAACAGCCACCATCACTTATTGGAATTCAGACAGATTCACCGTCCTCACTGCACTAAAAATTAAATTGGACAGAGCTACAGTAACTTTTCACCCCATCATTATACTAGTGCTCATCTGACTAATGCAAAAGAGGAAAGAATAATCCTTCGTAATGAGGCTGCGAACTATTTCTGTGGCAGTGCACTAGCGTAAGTGGATGTCCAAGAATTTTTTCAGTTCACTAGTCTAAAATATTATACAACGAAAAGCCTCCAGTTAGCCTCATTTCTAGAGTATATGTTCAGCAATGTGATCTCAAAAAAGGAAAAAGAAAAAGTTCTAAGTATTCTATACACCAAGGTTTTTTGTTTTTACCATATTTATTTTATTGAGGTTCTTTATATTCCTGCCTTTTCATAGTCAAGGCTCTTAGTACAGGAATATTGACTTAGGAATTGTGAAAATTCCTTAAGTTTCTTAAGGATGTTTGGCTTTTTTCTTTTCCTTTAATTTAATTTTTAAAAACATTTTCCTATGTTAGGAGTGCAAGAATAAATAGCCTGCATTTCAGATTTTGACATATGTTCATTTTATGCATATTTAAGAAGTTATAGCTGCATATCCCTTTTTTCAAAATATGTTGCCTTTTTTCTAAAGGAATTTTAATATATTCCTTTGAAAGAAAGCAATTTAATCAATTGCAAAGCAATTATATGAAGCCACAAAAAATGTACTGAACCTACTAACCCTTTAACATACAGTTTAGGGTCCTAGTGCAGAGTCCTTGTTTAAAGGTCATTGACCTGTCATCTGTCTGAAAGAAAGCAATTTAATCAATTGCAAAGCAATTATATGAAGCCACAAAAAATGTACTGAACCTACTAACCCTTTCACATACAGTTTAGGGTCCTAGTGCAGAGTCCTTGTTTAAAGGTCATTGACCTGTCATCTGTCAGTAATAAGAGGATTGGAATAATAATTTTACATGCAAATGAAGACTTAATTCACTGAGATGTAATGTCTTTAAGTTCATTGAAAATGGAGCTAATTTTGAAAAAAAAAATTTTTATGTTTCTAAATGCTATCTGCTTTTAACTAGTAGTTGCCTACATTTGGGGACTTTAGAAGAGAATTATATTTTGTCAGTTATGAAGAGATGGTGGTTATGGAAGCATTTATTTATAATACCCTTTTTATGTTTAGTTCTGAACTTAAAATTGCCCTCATACTTATTAATATGATCTGCATTTAATATGAAGGGTGTTTTCTTGATAGATCTCTGTTGTACTATTTGGGTACGCTTGTGTATTCCTTGCAAGCAACCTGTACTCATGGGTTTGGTTTAGAGTTAAATCATCAACATTATTTCATAAAATAAATTTAAGAATTTGTTCTGTGTTATCTAAAAATGTATCAGTATATTGCCACAATTGTGCTGTTAACTGAAAATGCTGAGACCCCTTTTTATAGAGAAACAGAGACATTTCAAGTCTTCTTAATTCAATACATAATCATTAGGCACCTACAAAGAATATTTTACAAGTAATAGTATTTAAATAATGTGTTACTAATATTTTTGATACAATAATTTCATATTGGAATCATGACCTGTGCAAAGGGACAGATCACTTGGATTGCTATACTAGTAGAACATAAGGCTAAATGTTTGCACATTCACATTCTCATCACATTTAGAACTACTTCACGAAATAGTCAACATCTAAGACCATATTTCCTATTTCTGTTTTGAGAGGTCATATATTCCCCAAATATTGGAAAAATAGTCCCTACATTAGCTCTACAGTCTTAAGAGCTATAGATTTAAATTCACTGGTTAGTTTTAATTTTCAAGTATAGACCACTTCTTTCCATAAGGACCCTAAGTTCTGGCATAATCTAAAACTTTTTTTCTTCCAAGATGGGTTCTTTTCTTTCTCATAGGATCATCGTAAATAGTTCCTGCCCCTGGATTATAACCAAATAAAATTTCACTGATTTAAAATTCTTAACATTCAAGAACTTATACTTAATTTTACTTTAAAAGCCATGGGGGACAGTTATGTATCTTAAAATATCAAAAGCATTTTTTAAAGCACTTGGATTGTCTTGCATATGTGCATACTATACCTTGACAGCTTTTATTGTCTTGTCTCTTTGTTGGTAGACCTTCAGTACACAGTTTGTGGGATGTGTCAGTCAAGTTGGTCAGCACCAGCATCTGTCCACCTGTTCAGTATATTGTGACTCATTTAAAATCTGTTCTGTCCCAGACATGGGCCAAGGTGCTGTATCAAAGGGATGTGCTGTAATTTGATTTACATACATTAGAGCACACAGTAGAAAAATCTTAGCTTTATTAGTAATATGACACATGTATATAGGAAGATGTCTTTATTGTGTGCTTTGCATATTTTGTAAATATTTTGCACGTCATTATTTTTTCGTTTAAGCAGTGTTTGGCTTGGAAGAGTGATATGCTTGCTGCTTAATCAAAGGATTAAAGATTTAAAGATGTCTATGTCTTCTATTTTTATATAATTTCATGTATGAGGAATTTAGGACCTCTTCACTGTGAAATTCTAAATATTGATTTTTATAAAACAAAACCTAGAAATCTTTTAATGACCATTTTCATTAATTTCAGGGTTATTATTTTTGAAAAATCTACACCAAAGTGATTTTTTTTTAAATTACGTACGTAAAAATAAATCTCACTGTGGATACATCTGGTAAAATTAATGACAAATATTTTTTCTTTATGATTTAATTCCAGTGTAATATGGGTGAAAGTAAAGGTAAATCATGATCAAACTTGTTTTTAATAAGCTTACAATTGAGTAAAATAGAATATAAAATAAAGATGAAAGAATGTAAAATTCTGTCTTAATAGAGGCCTATATTCTTTTCAGGAATAGATGTAGGTAGCAAGCCAAGAACATGACAGTCATTATTTTCAAATGTGACAAGTACATTGGTTAAAGTACCAAGTTTAGTTATTAAAGATGTTTCTTGGGCCGGCCCGGTGGCGCACTGCTATAGTGCGCCGCTTGGGAAGCGCGGCGGCGC